TGTGAAAGGGAAGTTAAGGACATGGCTTCACAAGGCAGGCAAGAATTATAATGCAAAACAAAGAGCCAGCCTGGAAACAGGTAACAAAAATAAAGATGCTGGCATGGCTAAGACATTGGAATATATATGTTTATAAGGAAACAAAATGAACAATTTTACTTGGAAGGTTAAAGATCCACAGCTTAAAGGAACACTACAGTGCTTGGAATGCAAATATGCATATCTAATGCTTTAAGTGTCCTCACCAGTAGCTCATAGAGAGGCTTGGAGGCCAGCTTCCTTCCATAAAACTATAGACCCTCTCGCAGAAAACCCTGAACACTACCTAACATACTATTTTCACCTTCCCTGAGGTATTCTCTCTATCCAGCAGATGCAGTTTTTCAGAGCACCTAGGATGTCAGCCACCCGGTTGTGATAGATCCCTGGTAGAAATCTGGTAAAGAAAACTCTGGGACTGGCAAACCGCATGGACGTGTGTTAGCTGAGCTCCTCAATCTTGGAAAGCCAATCCACTGCCATCGGGCACTAAAACTCTCAAAATGGGACACCCAAAACGTTCCAATGCTGGACAGCATCCTGCTGGCAAGACCCCTGCAGGAAAAAACGTAACTATGACTAAATTTCTCAGAGATACTGCGGAACACGCACCCGACCCAGTAGGCCCCAACAAGGCCCCAGACTCGCCTCCAATCTGCTCCACTCCAATGAGTCACACTCGACAGACCCAGACATCAGGGAGATACTCAAAGCTCTCCCCTCCAAACAGGACCTGGCCTTCATGCTGCACAAGTTAGAGGCCTCGTTCCAAACCAAACTAGACGCTATAGGAGCAGACTTCAAACAGACAAAGCACAGAATATCCTCCCTTGAAGAAGACAGAGACACGATGCAAGTGCAAATTAGAGCGCTCCAAGACACAGTGTCAGCACAAAACAACCAAGTATCAATCCTACAACGATTGCTTTATGATCTGGACAACAGGGGACGGCGAAACAACTTGAGAGTGAAAGGCCTTCCAGAAATGGACCGGGAAAACCTTCCTAATATACTGCAGGAATTCTTCAACCTTATACTCGGCCAACCTGTAGACACACCAATAACCTTTGACAGGGCCCATAGAGCCCTATGCCCAAGGGACACACCGTCCGGTATGCCCATGGATGTGATTTGTAGACTGCATTATTACGAGTGCAAGAATAAAATTATGGAGGCCTTGCGCCACTCTCAGCAACCCCTTCTCTACCATGAAGCTCCGATTGCAATCTACCCTGATCTGTCATGGATGACACTACAGGCCCGCAGAGTGCTGAAGCCCATCACAGACCAGCTCCGAGCTACGATACCGTTGGGGCTTCCCCCTCTCGCTCACAGCTATCTACAATGGGGCCTTACATACTATCTCCTCGATCCACGGTGTTCCGGTATTCCTAAGAGATATGGACCTACCTGACATCCAGGTTCCAGACTGGTACGGCACTGTCCCGCCACCTAACTCATCACGACTGCCGCAATGCAACCAGTGGCAACAAACACCCAAGAATAGAAGAACAGATCGAGCAGCGACAACACCGGAAGATTCAGCGCACAACTAAATGCCCAGCACCCACAGCCACGACTACATGACGACACCTAACTGCCACGGACTCACATCACGCTTTCATCCTGCCCTGACTGACGATGACACCCCATGGAAGAAAGAATATTTTACTGGGACTTCTACTCACCGACATACCGCATCAGAGACGAGAGAAATTCCTGCCAACACCTCCGAAGCAGCACAGCAACCTCTGACATGGAGACTTTACATCAGTTGGTCACGCAAGTAGTGCTATAGCCAATGACCTCGAACTTACCCCCAGGGTAGCTCCCTGTACACCTCACCCAAACTGATTAACTGTCACTAGTCACCCCCTCACTCCCTTTGTCACTAGTCACCCCCTCCCTCTGTCACTATTCACCCCCGTCACTGTGTCACCTCCCCGTCACTGTCACCCCCGTCACTGTCACCCCCCCATCACCGTGTCACTCCCTCCCTCTGTCACAAGTCACCCCCTCCCTCTGTCACCCCCGTCACTGTGTCACCCCCTCCCTCTGTCACTAGTCACCCCTCCCTGTCACCTGATCCTCCTCCCTAACTCTGTCACTAGTCACCCCTCACTCTGTCACTGTTCACCCCCCCCTCACTCTGTCACTGATCACCTCCTCCATCTGTCACTGTATGCCCCTCCCTCCCCTCTTTCTTCACCCACGTCAATTAATGCCGTCACTTTGTCATCCGTCACTGTCTTACCCGTCGCGTGTCACTCACTCCCTCTCTGTCACTAGTCACCTCCTCTGTCACTGATCACCCCTCCTCGTGTCACCTCCTCTGTCACTGGTCCTCCTCTGTCACCCTGTCCTGTGACACCCCCTCCCTCTGTCACTAGTCATCTCCCCTGTCACTAGTCCTCCCCTCGCTCTGTCTCGTCACCTCTCCCTCCCAAATCACTGTAATACCCCTATCTCACTGTCACCCCTCCTCTGTCACTGTCACCCCCCCTGCCCACTCTGTCACTAGTCACCCTCTCGCTCCCTCTGTCACTAGTCACCCCCTCCCTCACCCTGTCATTAGTCACACCTTCCCTCCCTCTGTCACTAGTCACACCTTCCCTCCCTCACTCTGCGACTAGTCACGCCTTCCCTCCCTCACTCTGCGACTAGTCACGCCTCCCCTCCCTCCCTCTATCACTACTCACCCCTGTGTCTGCCCCCCACTCTGCCACCGCTCACCCCCTCCCTCAGCCACAAGGTACCCCCTCACTCTGCCACCTGTCACCACCTCTCACACTCTTCCACCTGTCACCCTCTCCCTCACACACTCTGTCACCAATCACATATGCATTCACACTGACTCTATATACAAAAAAGCACATGTAGTCTTTCAGACATGCACAAGTGCATTCACACGGACTCAAATACAAACATGCATTGATACACAGGTCTTCACAATATACACATCCAAAGGAATGCCGTATTATATGAGAGTTATATTTAAAGGGACACTATAGTCACCCAGACCACTTCAGCTCAATGAAGTGGTCTGGGTGCCAGGTCCCTCAGGTTTTAACCCTTCAGATGTTAACATAGCAGTTTCACAGAAACTGCTATGTTTACTTAGCAGGGTTAATCAAACCTCTAGTGGCTGTCTTCCTGACAGCCGCTAGAGGCGCATCTGTGACGCTGGATGCAAAATTCTCATCCAATGTGCAGAACGTCTATAGGAAATCATTGAGAAATGCTTTCCTATGGACTGTTTGAATGCGCCCGCGTCACTTGCCGTACATGCGCATTCTGCTCCACTCGGGAGCTGACGTCGGCGGGGGAGGAGAGGTCACCAGCGCAGAGGGAGCTCAGTGCTGGATAAAGGTAAGCTGCTGAAGGGGTTTTAACCCCTTCAGCACCATGGGAGGGGGACCTTGAGGCTGGGGGCACCCTTAGGGCACTATAGTGTCAGGACAACCATTTTGTTTTCCTGACACTATAGTGATCCTTTAACATTTATTTGATGCACATATATTTGGCCTTCAAAGGGCCTGGGATATAATTTTGCCCTGGGGCCCCAAAGGCTCTCAGTCCACCTCTGACCGTACCCCATTCCCTCCCTCCCTGTTTTACCCCGCTCACAACATGGTATGCAGTGGTTAGGCATGATCCTAACTGATATGTGATATATATGTGTTTGATCTGTGGACATCGCTCCCTGAGATAGGAAGTGATATGGTCTCCAGAGCGTTGTCCCCGAGGTTATCAAAATACATTGTGGGTTATGTAATTTCAACTTTATCCAAGGTCAAATTCCCGACAGTGCCCCCCCCCTCTACCTGGAGGTCCTGCACACCGCGGAGGCGTGCGGGCGCTACAGTCACTGACCCACAGGACACAGCGCCTTGACCGCATAAGCCCCTGAGCCCATCACACTCCAAACTAGTTGATAGACCATGGCTCAATTCAGCGCGAGATAAGCTAGCCACAATGCGCTGCATGAAGACTCCCTGGGCCTGGCGACACTTAACGGACGTGTGACCTCATAACCAGGTGTGATTATAAATGAACAACCCCGTGGCTACCTAAATATTTCAACCATGTTGTCCCCCCCTCGTCCCCTCCCCCCACCCCCCCTTTTTGGTTCTGCTTTAGCATGGTTTAACATAACCCGACATGAAATGGATAAGCATGTGATATAGGTTTCGGCCCGATGGGCAATATTCCTTATGACAAGATGTGATTCTCTCTTCCAATAATGTCGAACTGTAATGCAAAATGTGATGTTTAAACAGTATACAGGGCCACACTCCCAACCCCTACCTTCCCCCCCTCTTTCTTACTTGATCCGAGATGAGGGGCACGTCCGCGACTGCTTTACCCCTCAAGAAGCGATGCAAACTTAGCCCTGACGAGATGTCCCTAATATCTAAATAAGATTCCTGAATGCCAGAATCCACCAGACTATACCCGCAAATGTCCTCCCAACACTAGATGCACCACTATCCCCCAACGAAGTTGCCTTAGCTATACGACACCTTACACTGGGAAAGAGTCCGGGTGCTGATGGCTTCTCGGCCAAATACTACAAGACAGATAAAATAGAAAGGTGAACAGCGCTAAAAATCTGAAAATGTACATACGTTTTGTATAAATACTGGCCAGCAGAGTAACTTAAAAAAAAGAGAAACAAAAATACAAATAATGGTACAGTATGTATGAACGATATAATTCCACAAGAACAAAGGTGTTATATTCACACTCACACTTTGAGGAGCTATATCAGCTCGGTGTTAAGAGCCTGGACGGAATAATCTCCGTCTATGGATTTCTTGAGGTTCAAGACCGTTGGTGAATTTATAGGTGTAAATATTCGTTACATGAAAAACAAGAGTAAAATACACCACATGGTATAGTACGTAAATATAAAATATTGTGGGAAAAAAAAAAAAAGTGGATTATCTTCCTCACTTGACGCGTTTCGCCGAAGCTTTCTCAAAAGTGAATGAATGATTCATTCAAAATGATTCATTCACTTTTGAGAAAGCTTCGGCGAAACGCGTCAAGTGAGGAAGAATTTTGGACTTTTATACAAGACTGGTTTTATAGTTTATTATTCACTTTTTACTTATTGTATTAAAGTATATATATTTTTTAAACTATCCAGTCATTCCTTTTGTCCTCCTTCCTATCCAATACTGCTTTGCTGCTATACCTGGGTCCACTATATCCCAAGGTGGGGATTATTCCACCTGAAATTCTCCAAACTAGAGCAGGTCGTTGCTCTAGTATATGTAAGTAGGATCATCCACTTTTTTTTTCACAATATTTTATATTTACGTACTATACCATGTGGTGTATTTTACTCTTGTTTTTCATGTAACGAATATTTACACCTATAAATTCACCAACGGTCTTGAACCTCAAGAAATCCATAGACGGGGATTATTCCGTCCAGGCTCTTAACACCGAGCTGATATAGCTCCTCAAAGTGTGAGTGTGAATATAACACCTTTGTTCTTGTGGAATTATATCGTTCATACATACTGTACCATTATTTGTATTTTTGTTTCTCTTTTTTTTAAGTTACTCTGCTGGCCAGTATTTCTACAAAACGTATGTACATTTTCTGATTTTTAGCGCTGTTCACCTTTCTATTTTATCTGTCCATTTATCACAAGGTAGAGGAACACCTTGTTGGTGAACTGCTGCTCACCCCTGAGAAGAGAGCGCTTATTATTCTTTTGCATTAAATACTACAAGACGTCTACGACCTCCCTATCTGAACCCTTCACACAACACTTAACTCTCTTGCCCACTCTGCTACCTTCCCTACGGCATCACTAGAGGCCCACATAGCCCTCATACCCAAACCGGGTAAAGACCCGACCAACTGCGGCAGCTACCGCCCAATTTCCTTGATAAATTTAGACGTGAAAATATTTACGAAAATATTAGCCACCCGCTTGAAACCACTGCTCCAAACTCTGATACACTCTGACCAAGCGGGCTTCATCCCCAACAGAGAAGCAAAACATAACACCATAAAAATTCTAAACCTGATATATATGGCACAACGCCTTCAAACTGAGAGCCTCCTACTTTCAATTGACGCGGAAAAGGCGTTTGACAGGGTGGATTGGTCACTATTGACAGCCACCCTGCGAAAGTTTGGTTTCAGACCCAGGTGGTTGGAGTGGATACAGGCCATTTACTCCAATCCCACAGCCCGACTAAGAGTCAACAGACAACTCTCAGACCCAGTTCAAATAAGAAATGGTACGAGACAGGGTTGCCCCCTTTCCCCACTCCTCTTTATCATCGTATTAGAACCCTTCTTAAATGGAGTAAGAGACAACCCAGGTATCAAGGGCATCCAAATACAAAGTGCTGAATACAAAATCTCAGCGTTCGCTGATGATTTACTATTCACCATACAAACACCAGACTCTTCGTTGCCCCCCCTCTTAGAAGAAATCACCATAAACTTTCCAATTTCCAAGTTAACTTCTCAAAAAGCGAAATCTTGCCACTTTGCATAACTCCCCTCTCATGCACGCATCTGCAAGCAGCATTTCCCTTTACATGGGCGGACAAATCCATTACGTATCTAGGTTTTCGCCTATTGGCAGACCTATCGTCCATATTTGCCCTGAACTATGACCCATTATACCTAGCCATCTCGAAAGACCTACAAACATGGCATGAACCGCAATTCTCATGGCTTTGTAGAATCAACATTCTTAAAATGAACTCCCTCCCTAAGATACTTTACCTCTTCCAAACTCTGCCCATAGCTATACCAAAATCCTTTTTCACTAAGCTCAGACAACTCTTCACCACCTTTATATGGGCACAGAAACAACCCAGAATCCCTGACGAGGTTCTCACCAGGCACCAGGCACAGATCCTGCGGAGGACTGGCCCTTCCAAACATGGAACGCTATTACAAGGCAGTAATTCTCTCCAGAATCCATGACTGGTCTACCCATCCACCGACACGGCAATGGGTAACCCTCAAAAGCGCAGTAAGCCTAGTGCCCCTTTATACTCTCCCATGGCAGAGAGTCATCCCCTCAAAACTGCTCTCGTGCTGCTCCGCTCACCCCACCATACTTCCCACACTCAGGACTTGGACGGGCATGCGAGAGACTGAGAATATTTCTCCTCACCCATCCCCTCTTTTTGCCATCACATACAACCCACTATTTCCCCCGGGAATGCAACCTGGGACATACCAAAGATACAATAAAACGCTGGACGCCCCCTACTTAACACTAGGTTCAGTAGTTGAGAAGGACTCCATACGGACACTGGCTACTCTGATGGGCCCTGAGGCCCCACACGCACTACATGCATTTCATTATGCCCAACTGACCCATTTTGTAATGGCCAACACATCCTTACTCAGGGGCTCCCGCACCTTGTCCGACTTTGAGACACATTGCCTGACCCACAACATCAAAACTAAACAGTTATCGACCTTCTATAAACTGCTGCAGACCGAACATGGCTTCCCTTCACAGACGACTGGTCAACTGACCTGAATACACAGATCACAATGCCACAATGGCGGACTACCCTTTCACAAATCCACATGACATCCATATGCACCAAGGTACAAGAAAGTGGATAAAAGAGAATATCCAGGTGGCACTATTCTCCGGCCAAAATTCACCATATTTTCCCAGGCACACCAGACGTGTGCTGGAAATGCTCCCAACCGAGGGCATCCCTCGCACACATGTGGTGGCACTGTCCGCTCACGCAAAGATACTGGACAAACATTGTAACAATGGTCAACACTGTTACAGGTACCCAACTACCTCACACACTCTGCTGTTCCTGATCCTACCTACCTCAACCCCCAAAACACAAAAAATCCTCCTGACGCATCTCCTGACTGCGGCCAATCTGCTCATTCCAGTGAAATGGAAAAATCCTGCAGTCCCCACAATTAGGGAATGGAAGGTAGACTCTATCAAATCCATGGAAGAGATTCACGTCACCACTTCCCACAGATATACACTTTTCAAGGAAACCTGGGAACCATGGGTGAGATTTCTGGCCGATGAATCAGCTTGACTACCCGTAGTTCAAACCCTATACAGTAAACGAAATAATGGACAGGTCTACTTTCCCAGAGAAAATGACCGACCCAGGTTAAAGACAATCCCCAATCTCAGTCTTGATCTAGATCCCAGGAACAAATACGGGTGCTATGATAACAATTGTGCACTTCCTGCACAACTTCATGTCTCTTGTATCCATTCCGAAATGTAAATATTCAAAACTGTATCCACTTAATATGATGTCAGTTGTCACCCTACGAAAGAAACCCGCTCCTCCTTTTCCTACAGAGCACCGCAATTATGGAACGACCTCCCGCACACTTTCAAATCTTCCCCAGGCCTAAAATCCTTTAAGAGATCCCTCTCTACATATTACATAGTTACATAGTTACATAGCTGAAAAGAGACTTGCGTCCATCAAGTTCAGCCTTCCTCAGAAATGCTGTTGCTGTTGATCCAAAAGAAGGCAAAAAACCTGGTCTGAAGCACTTCCAATTTTGCCACAAACTAGGAAAAAATTCCTTCTTGACCCCAAAATAGCAGTCAGATGTCTCCTTGGATCAAGCAGCTATTACCCCACTAATTAGAAATTATATCCCTGTATGTTATGTTTTTGTAAGTATTTATCCAATTTCAGTTTAAACATCTGTATGGACTCTGACAAAACCACCTCTTCAGGCAGAGAATTCCATATCCTTATTGTTCTTACTGTAAAAACCTTTTCTTTGCCTTAGATGAAATCTCCTTTCTTCCAGCCTAAATGTGTGACCTCGTGTCCTATGTATAACCCTGTTTATGAATAGATTTCCAGATAAAGGTTTGTACTGGCCCCGAATATATTTGTATAAAGTTATCATATCCCCTCTCAGGCGCCGTTTTTCCAAACGAAACAGATTTAATTTTTGTAACCTTTCTTCATAACTAAAATGCTCCATTCCTTTTATCAATTTTGTAGCTCGTCTCTGGACCCTCTCCAGTGCCATGATATCCTTCTTTAGAACAGGCGCCCAAAATTGCACAGCATATTCAAGGTGTGGTCTTACCAGCGATTTATAAAGAGGCAAAATTATATTTTCATCCCGAGAATTTATGCCCCTATTTATACATGACAAAATCTTACTGGCCTTAGCAACTGCAGATTGACATTGCATATTGCTGCCTAATTTGTTGTCTATAACAATTCCCAAATCCTTCTCGTGTGTGGTTATCCCTAATTCACTACCATTTAGTGTGTAAGTTGCTTGTGCATTCTTAACCCCGAAGTGCATAACTTTGCATTTCTCTATGTTAAATTTCATCTGCCATTTTAGTGCCCAGTCCCCCAATCTATCCAAATCTCTCTGCAGCAAAGCAATATCCTGCTCACATTTTATTACTTTACAAAGTTTTGTGTCATCTGCAAACACTGATACATGGCTTTCAATGCCTATTTCAAGATCATTTATAAATATGTTAAATAGAAGTGGTCCCAAAACAGAACCCTGAGGGACACCACTTACCACTTTTGTCCAGCCTGAAAATTTACCATTAATTACAACTCGTTGTACTCTGTCCTTAAGCCAATGTTCTACCCAAGAACAGGAATATTCATCTAGACCAATTTCTTTTAGTTTGAAGACTAACCTATTGTGAGGAACGTATCAAATGCCTTGGCAAAGTCCAAGTAGATCACATCCACTGCAACACCCTGATCTATACTTCTACTTACTTCTTCGTAGAATGCAATTAGGTTAGTTTGACATGACCTATGTTTCATAAAACCATGCTGATTATTGCTAATAACAAAGTTCTTCCCAATGAATTCCTGAATATTATCCCTTAATAGCCCTTCAAATATTTTCCCAGTTACTGAAGTTAAGCTCACAGGTCTATAATTTCCAGGCAAGGATTTTGAACCCTTTTTAAATATAGGAACAACATCTGCCTTCCTCCAATCCTCCGGTACAACACCTGAAACAAAAGAATCTTGAAAAATTAAATACAGAGGTT